GACCACCGTTGTAATCGCCAGGTCAAGCTACCTATAATAAATAAATCAGCCCGATCGGAGGATACCCCATTTGCTGAACCTCAATCTACATTTTAAACAGCCAAGCTATCTCTACAATTATTATTTATGGTAAACGTCTTGAACATTGTTCTCAGGCAGGTACAAACTGAGATACCTGGATCTCCTATATTTATTATGAAATTGGCAAAGTGTGCTCGACATTTGGAAGTTCAATTATTGGCAGACAATTACGGTAACGCGATCTCATTGTTCGGTCGCGATTGCTCTATTCAGAGGAGGCATCAAAAGATTATCGAAGAAGCTCCGGCTGTGATTGCCAAACCTGAAGTTTTCGAGGAAATGGAAAAGGTAACCAAGAATTCGAAACGTAAGCAATTCAATTGTCATTCTCAATAGCTTCATAAAAAGAAACTTTACAGAGTCCAACTGTAATTGTAAAATACATATGTTGTCAACTTCGTAAAACAATATTTACTGTGTATAGGCTGCTGTAAGATTGGCCAAAATGGTTGGATATGTCAGCGCAGGTACTGTTGAGTACCTTTACGACACGTCTGGAAAATACTATTTCTTGGAGTTGAACCCACGTCTTCAGGTGGAACACCCTTGCACGGAGATGGTGTCAGATGTTAACTTACCCGCGGCACAGCTTCAAATCGCCATGGGTTTACCGCTTCACCATATAAAAGATATTCGGCTTCTTTATGGTGAAAGTCCGTGGGGCGATAGTATCATCGACTTTGATCAGCCGCAACATAAACCTCAACCATGGGGTCATGTAATTGCAGCAAGAATTACTAGTGAAAATCCTGACGAAGGTAGAGACATTACATTTCATATACAGTGAGTGTAGAATGTATTCGTACACCGATCAATTTCTCCCAAAAATTTGGGGGAAATTGTAGTTTTTTAACTTAATTTTTTGTAATTAATGATTTTTACATATTCTCGGAAATCTCTAAGATAGATATAGTCCAAACAACATTTACTAGTTTATATAATTCGTGAAATTAACAAAAAAATGCGAAAAGTGGGTAAAAGTATAGAAGCAGTAAGTATTTGTATGATTTTTATGACGAACCATTTAGTGTAGAGTTCGTAACGTAAACACATTAGTTTATTGCTCCGTAAGAATTAGAAAACATCAAATTTCCAGTAAAGTACTTTTAAAAATGGCTCTAATAGATGAATTGAAGAAGATCCCACTTCGAATAACTAATACTTTAGTTAATTCAATGCTTAGAAGAGTTACAATAATTATAAAATCAAAAGGAAATCCCACGAAAAAAGTATTATATACTTGTAAATTAATGTAAATTTCTTTTTTTTTTTTAAGAAGTTTTAAAAATTAAACAGTTGTGCGAATAGTTATTGTTTCAATGTTTCTATCGATTAATTGTTTTTTTCTTTGTTAATTTCGCAACTTACATAAATAGCTATTTTTTTTATAATTTATCTATTCTAGAGATTTCCAAGAGTATATAGAATGTCATTGTTTATAAAAAATAAGTTAATAAATTACAATTTTACATAGTTTTTTTTGGAAATTGATCGGTGTACGAATACTTTCTATATCCACTGTAATAATTATAATATATGTTACTAAAATTAAAGCGTCTTAACGAAGGTAAAGATGTGAGCGTCAATAACGTATTCCTCAGGTTTCAAGCCAAGCTCAGGTACTGTCCAAGAATTAAACTTTAGGTCTTCGAAGAATGTCTGGGGTTACTTCTCAGTAGGAGCTTCCGGTGGTCTTCACGAATTTGCAGACTCGCAATTTGGTCATTGTTTCTCCTGGGGAGAGGATCGTAATCAAGCTAGAGAAAATTTAGTTATAGCTCTGAAGGAATTATGCATCAGAGGTGATTTTAGAACCACCGTCGAGTACCTGATCACACTATTAGAAACGGAATCCTTCCAACAAAACACTATAGACACAGCCTGGCTCGATTTGTTGATCGCTGAACGTGTTAGAAGCGATAAACCGAATGTACTGTTGGCTGTGACGTGTGGTGCGCTTCATATAGCTGATAGAACTATCACTGCCGCCTTTACTGGGTTCCAAACAGCCTTGGAAAAAGGTCAAATACAAGCTAGCAATGATTTGGAGAATGTTATCGACGTAAGTGATTAACAATAAATACCAAATCAAGAGGGGAGCCTGGTTTAACGTACTAAAGGTTAAATAATTTTCGAGTATTTTTTTTTATAGAAGACAAATGAATGTATAAATATAAAATCTTTCAACTTTTGTTTAATAAAAAAAAATAGATTTTCTTGGGATGATACGCCGGACTCCCTTCAATACCTGGAGTCATTAAAACATTTATCAAAATTTGTAATTGCAATTGCATCTCAGGTTGAGCTCATCAACGATGGATATAAATATAAAGTACAGGCTGCCAAATCCGGCCCCAATAGTTACTTTCTTGTTATGAATGGTTCCTATAAAGAAGTAGAAGTACATCGATTGTCGGACGGAGGCATGCTGCTCTCTTTGGATGGTGCTAGTTTCACAACTTACATGAGGGAAGAAGTAGATCGTTATAGAATCGTCATAGGAAATCAAACGTGTATCTTCGAAAAGGACAACGACCCCTCTTTGCTGAGATCGCCGTCAGCTGGAAAACTGGTTAGCTTCTTGGTCGAAGATGGTGGTCATGTTAACCCTGGACAAGCCTATGCTGAAATCGAAGTGATGAAAATGGTAATGACGGTAACGGCAAGCGAAGCTGGCAGTGTTTTCTACGTTAAAAGACCAGGTGCCATCCTCGAGGCCGGTACGTTGATCGCTCATTTGGAGTTGGACGATCCAACATTGGTGACAAAGGCTATGGAATACATGGGTCAGTTCCCAGAAACTGAAGCTCCTGCAATTTCGGAGAAATTGAATCATCTTCACACCAAGTATCGTGCTTCTTTGGAAAATACCCTGGCGGGATATTGTTTGCCAGATCCGTATCATTTGCCACGAGTTCGAGAACTTCTCGAGAAATTTATGAACTCCCTACGCGATCCTAGTCTGCCTTTGCTCGAGATCCAGGAGGTGATCGCAACGATATCGGGTAGAATTCCGATTTCCGTCGAGAAAAAAATAAGGAAACTAATGTCACTTTATGAAAGAAACATCACCTCCGTTTTAGCGCAATTTCCTAGCCAGCAAATCGCTGCTGTGATCGACGGGCACGCAGCTACTCTTTCGAAGCGATCCGATCGGGACGTCTTCTTCTTAACCACTCAAGCCATAGTGCAGGTAGTACAAAGATATAGGAACGGAATACGTGGTAGGATGAAGACCGCCGTTCACGAACTTCTTCGACAGTACTACACGGTTGAGAGCCAATTCCAACAAGGGCATTACGATAAGTGTGTTTCAGCTTTAATAGAACAGTACAAAGACGACGTAGCTACGGTAACGGCTATGATCTTCAGTCACAATCACGTTACGAAGAAGAACATTCTGGTGACTATGCTAATCGACCACCTTTGGGCGAATGAGCCTGGTCTTACGGACGAATTGTCGAGCACATTGACAGAGTTGACGAGCTTGAATCGTACGGAACACAGTCGCGTCGCATTGCGTGCCAGACAAGTCTTGATCGCCGCTCATCAGCCCGCCTACGAATTGAGACACAATCAAATGGAATCTATATTCTTGTCAGCTGTGGACATGTACGGCCATGATTTTCATCCAGAAAATCTACAGAAGCTAATCCTCTCTGAAACGTCTATTTTTGATATTCTTCACGATTTCTTTTATCATTCTAACCGTGCCGTTTGCAATGCCGCCCTGGAGGTTTACGTTCGCAGAGCGTACATCAGTTACGAGTTGACCTGCTTACAACACATCGAATTATCCGGCGAGGTGCCGCTCGTACACTTCCAATTCTTGTTGCCTAATAATCATCCAAACCGTCAAAATCAGTCTCCAGTTAACCACAGAATCGGTGCTATGGCAGCCTTCCAAGACTTTGATCAATTTGTCCGGTATTCGGACGAAGTACTCGACCTGTTGGAGGATCTATCTACGCCCATTTCAATCTCTGCCAAGGTTTTGGACGCAGTAGATGCGGCTGGAGGAAGCGAATCGAGGCATAGTACATCTATAAATGTGTCATTGAGTATCGCGGAAACTAGTGGTCCAGTGGTGGAAATCGGTGAGAGACCTGCGGAACCAGTACACGTTGTGAGCATCGCCGTTCAGGAAATGGACAATTATGACGATGCTATTATGGCAAACTTATATGGCGGCTGGTGCGCAGCGAACAAAGACGAGTTGATCGCAAGAGGTATCAAAAGAATCACGTTCGCTGCTCTAAAGAAACGACAGTTTCCAAAATTCTTTACGTACCGTCAAAGGGACGGTTTCATGGAGGATAAGATTTACCGCCACCTAGAGCCCGGTTGCGCGTTCCAATTGGAGCTGAACAGGATGAGAACATACGATCTTGAAGCTTTGCCTACCTCAAACCAAAAAATGCATCTCTATCTCGGTCATGCCAAGGTCGCCAAAGGGCAACAAGTCACCGATTATCGTTTCTTCATTCGCTCGATCATCAGACATTCCGATCTGATCACCAAAGAGGCTAGTTTCGATTATCTCCACAACGAGGGCGAACGCGTTTTGTTAGAAGCCATGGACGAGTTAGAAGTCGCGTTCTCTCATCCACTCGCGAAACGGACAGAGTGCAATCACATTTTCCTAAACTTTGTACCCACGGTTATCATGGACCCTGTGAGGATAGAGGAAAGTGTGACCAGCATGGTGCTCAGATACGGTCCAAGGTTATGGAAATTGAGGGTACGCCAAGCTGAAATCAAAATGACGATTCGTCCATCCCCGGGGAAACCGACATCCACTATACGCTTGTACATCGCCAACGACAGCGGTTACAGTATAGATTTACATGTATACACGGAGACGACCGACCCAAAGACTGGTGTTATTCGCTTCGAGTCTTGTCCTTCGGCGACAGCAAACGTTGCCTGGAGACCAGGGCCTATGCACGGTCTGCCGATCTCCACGCCATATTTAACCAAAGATTACCTTCAAGCGAAACGGTTTCAGGCACAAAGCGCTGGCACAACCTATGTCTACGATTTGCCAGACATGTTCAGACAACAGACAGAGAAACTCTGGCTGAAGTACATAGAAGAAAGACCAAATGCCAACATAAATATGCCAAATCCCATAATGGACTACGTGGAATTGGTGTTGGAGGGTGATAATCTAGTGGAACAAAAGCGTCTTCCCGGTGAGAACAATGTTGGCATGGTGGCTTGGAGGTTCCGATTTTACACGCCGGAATATCCAGAGACTGGTCGTGACGTTATATTAATTGCAAACGATTTAACGCATTTAATTGGTTCCTTCGGCCCAAAAGAAGATCTGGTGTTCTGTAGAGCATCAGAAAAAGCTAGACAGCTTGGAATACCACGGATTTACTTCTCTGCGAACTCGGGTGCTCGTATCGGTTTGGCAGAGGAAGTGAAAGCGTTGTTCAAAATCGCTTGGGAGGACGATAACGAACCAGAGAAAGGTTTTAAATATATTTACCTCACGCCGGACGATTACGCCCGTTTAGCGCCCGTAAATTCCGTGAAGGCTTCGTTGATCGAAGATCGAGGAGAATCTCGCTACAAAATTACAGATATCATCGGTAAGGACGACGGTCTTGGTGTGGAGAACTTAAAGTATGCTGGTATGATCGCTGGTGAAACGTCCAGAGCATACGAAGAAATAGTCACGATTTCCATTGTATCCTGTCGAGCTATCGGTATCGGAGCTTACCTATTGCGTCTTGGACAGAGGGTCATTCAAATAGAGAACTCGCATATTATCCTGACCGGTTACAAAGCGTTGAACGCGGTGTTGGGTCGTGAAGTATACGCGAGCAACAATCAACTGGGTGGTATACAAATTATGCATTACAATGGTGTTTCGCATACGACCGACGAAAGAGATTTAGATGGAGTTGAAACAGCTCTGAAATGGTTGAGCTTCTGTCCTAAACACAAAGGTGCACCTCTTCCTATATTGCCATCACCGAATCCTGACTCGATCGATAGAGAGACCACTTATGTTCCCACGAAGGCAGCCTACGATCCAAGGTGGATGCTCGAAGGGAGAATCGTTCAAACTAATGACAACACTTGGGAAAGTGGATTCTTCGATCGTGGTACTTGGCAGGTACGCTTAGATTATCGTTACTTGTGTTTTAGACCTTGATAGTTTAAACCAGAGGTCGGAATTTTTTCTACGCGACGGCCGTTTTTCGAGGGCTACGCCTACCAGCTTTCCCTTACCGCGCGGAGCGCCAACAAGCTGACTGAGGTGCAGGACCGTCGCATGTCCCTAATAGTATGGCGGGCCCATTCACTAGATGGGAAGTAATGAAGGAGCGGGCCTGCCGCACTATTCGGGACATGCGGCGGTCCAGCGCTTCGGTCAGCTTGTAGGCCCTCCTGGGCCCTCCGTGCGGTAAAGGGAAGCTGGTACGCGTAGCTCTCGAAAAAATTCCGACCTCTGGTTTAAATGATGTTACTTTTTGTATCAGAACTACTAGTTATAGAAAGGCGTGAACTGATTATAAGAGAACAAGACCAATATGGCGTATAAGAGAATTATGTTTGACTTGATATAAAGTTGGAGTAGTGATTTTCAGCATTCGATATGTTTTACTTAAGGGGTTAGTCACAGTCAGGAAGAGGAAAAAACGATATTTCTTTGTGATTTTTTTTTAGTTATTAAATAATAATTTGCATAAGTAACAATTAAGTATATTATAAAGGATGTTTTAAAGAACTAAAAAGCATTTTTTGTTTTAAGAAACATTTAATTATCGTCATAACAGCCGATGACGTAGACGATGATTTAAAAACATAGGTTTGCGGTGAGCAAGATTTCTCTACACTGGTTTACCTGAAAACAAAAACAAAGGTAGATTACGAAAATAGATTAGTCTAGCGGGTCCCTGAACGAAGGATTTTGGAAAAAATTAATTTAAAACAAAATGACATACATTTGAAGTTAAAGTTCAATTTTCATTATAAAATTAAGTGATTAAATTGAGAATAAAAAGAAAAGTATATAAGAAAATAAAAAATCCTTCTATCAGGGACCCGTTAGTCTAATATATTTTCTAAATCTACCTTTAGTTTTGTTTTCAGGTGCACCAGTTTTAAGAAATCTTGCTCACTGCAAACCAAGTGAATTAACCTTTTTTTAAAACAAAAATTCTTTTATAGCTCTTTAAGACATACTTTGTAATATACAGGCTGCCCCAAAAATGTTGTAACACCTTGAAAGGGGTGGTTGAGGAGGTGATTTGAAACAACTTTTTCCTTAGCGAAAATGTTGTCCGAGGCTTCGTTGAGAAGGTAATAACGGAAATCGTCGACCAATCAGAGCGTGCGGATATCGGTGGAGCGGCCGCTGTAGCGAAGGCTATGAGCTAAGCTTCCTCAACGAAGCCTCGGACAACATTTTCGCTAAGGAAAAAATTGTTTCAAATCACCTTCCCAACCAGCCATTTCAAGGTGTTACAACATTTTTGGGACATCCTGTATTTACATTTCATTAATAAAAATTATTATTTAATACCTTAAAAAACACACACACAAGAAACTGTCCGTTTCCATTTTCCTGACTGCGACTAACCCCTTAAAGTGAGATGATTAAAACATTTCAAGATACTTCATTATATTTATAGGAAATAATGAGACCTTGGGCGCAAACTGTAGTAACCGGACGTGCTAGGCTGGGTGGAATACCATGCGGTGTTATCGCAGTAGAAACAAGGACCGTTGAAATGCATTTACCTGCTGATCCTGCTAATCTAGATTCAGAGGCTAAAACCATATCTCAGGCAGGGCAAGTTTGGTTCCCTGATAGCGCGTATAAAACCGCGCAGGCTATCAAAGATTTTGGAAAAGAAGAGTTACCTCTTTTCATCTTCGCCAATTGGAGAGGATTCTCTGGTGGAATGAAAGGTATTTATTGTTTTACAGTAATTGACTTATATCTACATATATTAATCTATGTATATCTATAATATACATATAAGATACAAAGTATCCCGTAACTGGTAGTATAAGCGAGCAAGGAATGATTCTACATAAAAAATTGAATCGAAAATGTAGAATAAAATTTGTTCATATGACGCTTTAATTTCGAAAAACAATAAGTTTGATCATTTGTTTGGTAAATCTTGTAACCATTGCAAAAGGACGGAAGTACTCTCCTACTCGGAACAATAAAAAAGTAAAATTCGTCAAAGTCAAGCTACATTAAGTATTCGCGTGCTCAACAAATTTTCAAACTTATTCTTTTTCAAATATAAAAAGTCATATGAACAAATTTTATTCTACATTTTCAATTCAATTTTTTATGTAGAATCACCCTCTATTCACTTGTACCACCAGTTACGGGACACCCTGTACATAATCTATCTATATTATATCTATTATTAATGACTAATAATGTATCTTTGTTTTACAGACATGTACGAGCAAATCATAAAATTTGGTGCTTACATTGTAGATGGATTAAGAGAATATACCAAACCGATATTTGTATATATCCCACCAAATGGAGAATTGAGAGGTGGTTCGTGGGCGGTGGTTGATCCAACCATAAATCCCAGATACATGGAAATGTTTGCTGACAATACAAGTAGAGGTGGAGTTCTGGAAGCTCAGGGAATAGTTGAAATCAAGTTTAGGAATAAAGATATAATTAAAGCTATGCATAGGGTGGATACAGTAATTCAAAAACTTAAAGTAAGTATTTTCAACCTTATGCTTGCGTGAAACAATTTTAACTGATGTTCATAGAAGATAACCTTTTGTTAATAGATACAAATACTTGAGACAAATCTGCTATCAGTAATTAATAAATTTAATAAAAAAATATCATTGTTATAGGAAAGATTGGCCAGCGTGAATACACCGGAGGACCGTACAGAAATCGAAAATCAAATACGTAAGAGAGAACTAGAGCTAGAACCTATATATCATCAAGTCGCAGTACATTTTGCAGACCTTCATGATACGCCTGAGAGAATGTTCGAAAAGAACGCGATTCACGAAATTATTCCATGGCGAAAGGCACGAAAATTACTTTACTGGCGACTGAGAAGAAGACTTTTGGAAGACGAGATAATTCAGGAGATTCTTTCTATTCAACCACGTCTCGATGTCAGACAAGTCGGCGCGATGTTGCGTAGATGGTTCATAGAAGACAAAGGTCCCACAGAGTCCTACTTGTGGGATCAAGATCAAGCGGCAACACATTGGTTGGAGAGTCAACGTCAAAACGAAAACAGTGTCGTTTCGCGTAACATTACTTGTGTGAAACAAGACGCAATTGTTTCACAAGTAAAAGAAGCTCTCGAAGCCTGCCCAGAAGTGAGGTTAACCGCAATTTTGGAAATTGCTCACAGACTTCAGCCAGCGGAACGTGCAGAACTACACAGAACTTTATCGCAATTAGAAACGACATCTCAGGAACTGAATGATTCAAGCGCTTCGTCCTAAAATTTTGGAAATATCACAGAATTTTCTGTCTATCCACGTACCTGGTGTATGCAACTCCGTTAGAATTAATTGTACAAACACTCGTTATTTCATCTTGTTAATAGTAAATTCTACGGGAATTGTAGTATAACTTCGAAAAGTTAATAATTGCTTCTATCGATGATGTTACTTGAAGGTAGAAAGCAAAACGAACTCGTGCTTAGTAAGGTTCAACAGTGATGCTATCGAATGTCAGACAGTGTTACTATCGTTTCCTAAACTGTGGTAAACTATGCCCATGTTTATAAGTGTATTCATAAATATAGAAATTATATTATATATATGTATGTATTTATATGCATATATAAATATATATATATATATATATATATATATTTATTTTTAGAAAAAAATGTCTGTTCGTTGCATTTGATTTTACCGAACGACTACTAATAAACATGTACGTCATTTCTCCATTCTCGTTGATAGAAAGATCGAAGGATAAGTTTGTAAGTATTAAATGCTGTTTTTTACTATCGTAATAGAAAATATCAAAATTTCTCTCTACTCTTTGGAGACTAACGTTTATTGAGAACTGGTTAAGTGAAAGGGATAGATAATGCAAAGTTTGATGAACCTGAATATTTAGCGGAATTAAGGTGTTTAATACAAAATATATGCTATATGATCTTTATATATACATATATATTTTATACTATTTTTAATTCATTAGTATCAAGATAAAATGTATATTATATACAATCATATCGTCATAAAGAGATGAAAAAAAAAAAGATTAGAAATAACTTCTGTTCATGTCATTGCCCTCAAAAGACTGGTATTTGACTTCGGTGTACATCGATTAGATCGTCATCTAGGGTAAGCAAACCCATAAAAGAGAAAAACATTGCTAAGGCAGACAAAAAGTGCCAAATGTCATGGTTGTCAAAAAAGTTTAGGACCCTGCAGGGTTTATTATAAAGACGAGATTGTGCTGGAGTAACCGCCCATGAAATAGTTTTGTTTATAAAAAAGTACATAGCTGCAGCCCACAACACAATTGACAAAATGATATAAATCAATGGTTGTAGAAGGATCCGTTCTCTATGGCAAAGCTGAAATATTACACTATTGATTAATTTGTAACATGTCAACTTTTGATTATGCATCTATACATACCTTCATTGCAATATAAAAAATAGTATACAGCATTAAATTGGACATTAATATAGCTAACAGGAACGTTGCAAAATTGTTTTCATGACTTATGTTTCCAAATACTGCGAGAGTAACATTACATAAATTTGCTATGACAAGCATTACAAATCGTCCCAGATACAAGGGTCGAAACATATTTTTAATTCCGGTATGGGCATCATATCTACAAGACTGTAAAATATGAATTCAGTAATCAATTATGTTTAACAAATGTAGCTCGATCAACATCAAATCAAAAAAATAATATCGAAAGCAATGTATGAAGAGCAAAACGTTACCTGTATTATTCTTGCGAGGAGACCTTTTCGTCTCCATCGTCCCATATAATAAATTTGAAGAGTTAAAAACAAGCAAATCGATAAATGCATAATTGTAAATATAATCCAGAAACAAGTGGAACCATTCAAGACGCCGATTAATCCAAGCAGAATCACCAAAGCCAAGATTCCAAATGTAACCGGCGCTCGAGCGTTTATATCAGGATGACGTGTTTGGTAAATTTTAATCATGCAAAGTACTGCTATAATGTACATAAAACTGGTGTCTGAAAGTATGATGTAGCGAATATTCTTATTAATGGCGAAGATTGCAAAAGATATACCGTATAGAGGACGTAATATATTTCATCTTACCGAATTGAAAATTACTTCGATTTGGACACACATGATAGCTCCCTGAAAGTATTCCTTCCATGATAAGCGCAGAACCAAGCGCATAAAACAATCCGTAATGTTGCGGTATACCGTAACACTTATTTTTTTCTTTATCCTTTTCATTGTTTTCACGAGAGTATGTCACAAATATAAACAAGAGACCTAACATTACGTACCCGAAATTCGAAAAAACATGATTTACGTCTGACAGAAATCCAAATGGATGGGCACATAAGAAATTATAGTAACACATATCTTGGTTTCCAGTAACATGAAGTACGTTTTGGTAAGTGATTACTAATTGGAGAACGGGTAAAGTATAGAAGACAGCGACCGTTGCTAAATAATATAAATATAATCGAGACTTGTGCCTTAGAATATTTGGATCTTTGCGAGCCAAATCGCAAACCGAAAGTACAAGTTTCGTTCGTATCACTTCTTTATCGGAAAAAGCATCTTCCATTATATCAATATCATCTTCATCCAGCGACGAATCTTCTTCTATAGATACTAACCGATTCGGTCCTGTCTAAAACAAATTATTCATATTATAATTATGATACTTAATTCCAATATGAAAGGTTTTTGCAGCACTTAAATTAGATTGTTATTAGTTATAAGCATTTTAAACTTATAATATTGAACTTACTTCTTCTATTGTTGAAGGACTCTGCATAGGTTCATTCAAATCTTGGCATATTTGATTGTCCAGTAATTCTTGTTGAATTTTTCTACCTTCTTTAATGTTGAACAACACAATGCCCACAACATAAATAAGGCAAAAAGTGAAAATAACAGATATCACTATGCTTATTGCGACAATATAATCGTGTTTGGTTATACTAGCATTTATAGTTAACGCCACTTTTTTATTCCGTAAATCAATTGTACTAGGCGATCCATAACAATCGGTGTCATCACCTTTTACTACAAGTACAACAAAAAATCCCATTGGATAAGCTTCTCTCTAAAAGATTATAGTTAGACATAAATTTTACTTTTAATAAAATTCTGCCAAAATAGTAATGTTTATTCTTTCATTTATTCCATAGTTTGGAAAATGCATAAAAGAAGTATGCATTAACAACCTAGAGAAGTACTTACAGGTATAGTAATACCACCCTGTCGATTTACAGTTTGCCAGTAACCAGCAAATTCAATGTTCCTTTCTAAATCAAATACAGGACACTAAAAAACAAAATATTTTAGAATCCTATAGTGATATACAGTAGAATATTAATTATCCAAAATAACTTTAAAAGATGCATGTTAATTATGTGAGAGATTGTGTGGTAAATAGAGTTATTGTTATTTGTAAACTTATCAACATTATTTAGTTGAATTGTAGGGATAAGGTATCATATAAATTAATAAAACAGTTTACAAAAGACAGACATATATATCAAAGTGTAAATAAT